GATTACCGCAGCAGGTTTAGATGCTCACTTCCTGGCAGGTGTCCCCTCTCCCCTGCTAGGATCCAGTGGCCTCCAATTTCCCTCACCGGCTTGCGTTCCAGGGAACACACTGTGTCTCTGTGAGATAGCGCTAGTCAGGTGTTGGCGAGGTTCCGATTAGAGAGATGCTGCAACGTCAGGCAAAAGGTGCTGAGCAATTGCTTTGTCCTTTTCCTCGGGGGCAGAGGATTAGAAACTCCAGCGTCTTTTATTAAACTAATCCTCACTCTCTATCCTGCAGGAAGCGAGAGAGAAAGATAGAGAGAGAGAGCGCGCACACTTGGAATATCTCCAACCCTTGTAAAATCCATTTACCATTCATCACGGTAAATATAGCCAACGTACTTGGATTAATGGATATCCTTGAGTGTACTTATATATGAATAACATTCTCAAATGCACCAATAATATATCCTAATACATTAAAAATCGGTCAATTTCATTATTCTGCTTTCCTGCTTAAAAGTATTTACTTTGGGGACGTCAAAGATAAGCTTGTGCATAAGCTATTTAGATAAGTTATTGAGTGGAAGGTCTATTTGAAGCAATTTTTTTCTCAAGCAAAATAAGAGTTAAGGATCTTTCCACTCCGTAAGTATTTGCTTTGTTACGCATTCTTGTCACTGAGTCAGACGTTGTAAGTTCAAGCTCCCACATCAGGATTTTGAGCTCATCGTCTAGGCTGACACTCAGGGCGGTGTTGGGGAGGGAGTCTGAAAAGCCGTTAAGACAAGATTGCATCTACCCATTTAGGTGCACGTTAAATATTCCATGTCACCACTCAAAACAGAAGGGGTTGTTCTGACCAACAGTCCTCCAGATAAATTGGTCATTCACTTTCCTGCTGTATGTGGGACCTTCCACTGCGCAAATTGGCTGCCGCATTTGCCTAAAATACAGTGCCCGAGCTATACTTTAGAGCAATTCCCTGTGAAGCAAATAATGCCTAAGCTACACTTTAGAGCAATTCCCTGTGAAGCACTGTGACACGTTGACATTATAAATGCGATATCAAATGCAAGGATTACCATTTTTTTCTTTTTAGTTACCAACAACAAAAAATACCCTTTAACTTTAACCATGTCATCTTAGAGTGAAGCTGAACCACACAGTCTTAGGAGAGGTACCAAGACTCATATCTTATTTCTCCCTGTATAGGCTTAAATATGAGCAGGGAACTTCCATTACACACGTCTCACTATCACATGATTGGATGTTTACACTGGTTTCAGTAATAACCAATTGTACACTCATCCACAGGGTGGAAGTAAGTCAGAACCAGTCCCGTGAGTCTGTCTGACACGTTGAACATTGTTAGTTTCACTCAGCCACATGACTGACAATCTTCTATTTAGGTAAAAAAGTAATAACTGGATCATAAATTCAACCACACGACAAAGAAATCATAGAATACCAAGCTGCTGTACATTAATACGCTTCTCATACATTTGATATAACGTTCATTTATTATTTTGGCTAAAGGAAACATTCACAGTTCTCGGATTCTGCCATCAGAACCCGGATACCAGAGTGAAGAGATCCAGAGCACGTCCTGTCTCCACAACAGTCTGATCGCTTCCCCGTATCACTGCCAACGGAAGTGCTCTACTTGCATAGGGGGAACCTATTGCTTGCTAGAAAAACTTAGGAAAAGCACGGCACAAGAAAGGACCACATGGGCAATCCCTGCCACTGTTGATAACCCCGCTTACCCCATGTTGGACTCAGCTCCGACCAGTTCGATCTTCCAGGGGAAAGTTATGGACAGATCCTCTCAGATTCCCAACGGTATTCAGGGGAAAAAAAAACCTGGAATATTCAGTCATTGCCCACTGGTCAAAGCCCTCAGCCCGTCCTCCCCTCTTACTCCACAGCCATTGTTGAAATCGCCATTAATCCAACTCCTTCTACAGGCTCAGCTGACTCTCATCGAGTGAGGGCAGAGGCAGGATTCTTGTGTTAGTGAATGAACAATTGATGGAATTGGAAGAAGGGAGAGGAGGGGACTTGTGGAAAACACTGGAAGACTAGCATTGATGTCCCAGCACTTTGCATTGAGATGTGCCATGTCTTAATTGGACATTCCAGGAGAGTTTCTAACAAAATATGGAACATTTTTTTAAAGGGAGAACTGAAAGGAAGGGGAAGGGGGGGTAGGTGAACTGGAAAGGGTGGGAGAGAAGGGAGAGATAGGCCATTTCCTGTTGTACATTTCTTCCTCCCTCACTAATAGGAAGTTTCATAGCTTGAAGACCCAGGGTGCAGGTCACCAGCACACATCAAGTGGGGAGCATCTCTTTGTGTGGGAGTTTATAAACGGGGAGAAGCATAGAATGTGGATGAATACAATTGGTTTTAAGAACCCCATGTTAGCCCATCATTGACCATCAAACTGAATTCAATAGATAAGAGGTTGAGAGATATCACGTTGGTAAAAAAACCCCACCTCCATCCTTCCTGCCATGCAGTGGTGACAGCTTGTGGCTAACACACACAGAGAGTAACACCCCAGCTTTCACACCCCTCTATTGCACCTGGGTACGTGTTGTTGGTTTGTGCACAGGGTCAATAGAAACACACAGGACAATTTCAAGAAAATTCTAGATGGAAATGTTACTGACACCCAGGGACGCACTGCAATGATGCTCAAATCTAGTGAAACAAGAACCCTACGAGAGACACCTTTCTACTAGGAAGAAAAATTACACACACGGACGCAACGATTCAGACATTCGGGATATTTATTGAGCATCGATTTGCGGAGGCATCAAATGAACCCACATTCGATTGGTCTACCCCCTGACCGGGCAGCGTTCCAATTAAAGTTTTCACTGGACGCGCATTGGATTGATTGACCGGTGGCACGGCAACATTGATGGAAGCCACTTTGCCCATTGGGAGTGAGCTGGACGGGGGATGGAACATAGGAACAGGAATAGGCCATTCAGCCCCTCGAGCCTGTTCCACCATTCTATTAGATCATGGCTGATCTAATTGGGGGGTGGTGGTGGTGGGCGTTACGATTGCCAAATGCGTCAGAATTTCACTTTGATTAGGGCGGACATGCCTGGCAGCCATGATAGCCATAATAGTTGGGGGGGATAGGGAAAGAGGTTGGAACTGCCCCTCATCAACCCAAGTCTGTGCGTGCTTCCTTTATAATTGTGGTTACATACAGAATGCAGACGACCAGCGCACTGACTCATGCTAGGATTTGGTTTTGGGATAATCCTTCAAATAAATAAATATAACAATTTAATCACCCAATCCACGGCTGTTTGTGGGACACTGCTGTGCACAATTGGCTGCCAGGTTTCGCCCACAAATTATACAGTCACTTCTTCTTGACAGTATATTCAGCGAAGCGCTTTGAGGCATCTCAACGACGTGATAAGGCGCTATATCAAATGCAAGGAATAATATTTTTTTAATATAAAAAAATTAAAGGTTGTTATTAAGCAGTTTCCACGGTGAGGATGAAACCCAAACAATTTCCATTAGATTAATGAGAAAGAAAAGCACGTTAGAGTGTTTTTCTATTGACCCTGGTCACCTATTCTAATATTAGATATTGCTAAAACCTTATTTCTTCTTAGAAACAATACCCACGGGCTGTTAAAAAGTGACTTATTTTTGTTTCTTCTCTTCTCAGAATACGAAAAACACTTTTACACGTTCAGATTGTGTAAAAACACAGAATGAGGCAGGGGAGTCGACTCTTCCAAACATTTAGAAGAAGGATCAGTTAGGAACATAGCAACAGGAGGCCATTCAGCCCCTCGAGCCTGTTCTGCCATTCCATAAGATCATAGCTGATCTGTACCTCAACTCCAATTACCCGCCCTTTGCCCCATATCCTTTAAACGGCAGGTTCCATGCAGAAAATCATCAAACCATGGACTTGGGACACATTAACAAGAAAGGGTCCAATTTCAAAACTTCTCAATTTGGAAATGTTGTGATTGTTCAAAATCTACCAACTTGCGATATTTCTTAACAAGAGTTCCAAACAAGAAACGTCTTCAATTTCCAAAACATCGAATGTCCTGGTTTCGACGTTATCGAGAGATTAGCGAAAGACACGTTTCTGGTTAAGAAATCTCTTAAGGAAAACCGCAAATTAGACCCAATCGATGTCTCAGTGGAGAAATGCTTTGATGCTCCTTGGGTGTATGACTTGCTTCTCGTTTCTTCCTCTCAGCGAGATGTCTAGATTTATCAAACCACCAACAGACCAGGGTTTCTCGTGGCTGATTAAGTCCAGGGTTGAGTGTGGCGGTCACTTCCAGCAAGATTGTCTGTCCTCTGTAGGGCGTTGCGTTCAGAGTATTAAGTGCCCACGGCTTAGGAAACATTTCCCTACAAGCGGCCATTGCCCACGCTGATTGTGTGGCAAACACCACCCAACACTGGAATGCATTCGCCAATTTGCTATGAAGAATTCTTACCAGATTACGTCAGGTCCCGGTTTATCTGTTGACATTTGCGAGGACGATTCCCACAGTTGGAGATGAACAGTGAGGAGTTACCTTATCCGCTATGATCCAGTGTTTGGTCGTGGGCAGAGAAAGGGGATGAGTTAGCGGAGGAGGGGTATGTGGTGGTGGTGGGGGACAGGACATGTCGGGATGAGATGGGATGGGTTGGGAGTGCTTTGGGAGTGGAAGATGGCTTGACCCTTCGTGTACTGGCCTGATTTTCCCCTTGACGATAGTCGGGGGGAGTTGGGGGATGGTTTTTTTTTCGGGGTGTGGTGGTGGGGTTGGGGGAGTGGGGGGGGGGGGGGAGAGAGAGAGGGTCGGGCTGCTTACCTTTTTTAAATATTAACAGCACTGCAGTTTTACTCTGGTGTCTTAAACCAAAAACTTTGTAAATAGAGATAGATGGCTTTACAAAAAAAGCTAACAGTATCAGCCACACAATGGCTAAAGGGAGCTTAGGTCCATAATCTCCTGCAGGTCCTAGCTGCTGTCAGAAGATGTGTGGGGTGCCGTCGACGGGGATCTCCGCCTTCGGGTGGGGGTCCATGACCGTTCGGAACTGTACGTGACCTGTTTAAATCTGTGCATATGGTTCTCAAAGAGGTCCCTCTGCTGCTGGCCGATGGCGTGAGCGATCAGGCCGGGTAAAGTCTGCAGGCTGACCGTTAAAGTGTCCAGTTTATTCTCCAGAGTTACAATCCGTTTTTCCAAATCTTCGTTCTTCTCTTGCAGCTCCGACAGGATGTCGTACATCACGTTCTGCGTCTGCGGGCGAGAAGGGGAAAGACACAGCGAGTGCGTACCGCTGATTTATCGTTCGCCAATCTCACAGGTTAGAGCCCCCGTTGTCTCGGTTTGCTATCACAATCACCACCACCCCCCCCACCCCCCACCAACCGCTACGGTATTTAAACGCGTACCAACCTTGGCTAGATCCACCAGTGTGTTCGCTTGATCATTTAACTTCCTCTGTTCCATTTTCACGCTTCTCAATCTACATGGGAAACACAGAGTCAGTTTTCCGTCAAGTCACTCCTGACTCACCCATGCTGTAAGGTAAGATAAGGACTAACACGACAGCAGGCAATCTGTGGCGTCCAGTGGAGGACAGTGCTCACCATGCGTTTTTGGTAATCAACCATCTTCAATCCCATTCTAGAAATGATCACAAATGTCTCGTTTCCTGGATTAAGATGGATTAACCTTTTCTATGCACGCGGCTGGCTGTTGCTAACCGTCACTTTCCCGACGATCTCCACACAACAGCAGAACGGAGAGAGAACAGCGGCGAGCAATGTAATGCCAGGGGTCACAAGTGTTCTTTGCAAAATGGAGGGTGGGCGAGGGCGGGGGAAGGGATGGGGGTGGGAGAGAAAAACAGTGAAGGTGGATCCTCTTCAGTGAAATTCCAATCGTCTGGGTGAATTTAGATCCCCCCACCCCACCCGCCCCCCGTCAAATTCTGAAACAAACTCAATAACTAATATCAACTAATTTTATTTCAATAACTAATATAGTTTAATAGGTCAACCAGCAATCGCATTGATGGAATCCCAGAAAATACTCCAGGCCTGAAATATCACCTTGTCTCAGACCGCAAGACCGTTCATCTTGGGCGTTTAGGATCGCAGCGGAAACATGGAAGATTCCTAATTCAGTCTTAACTCTGGAACGTTGGTTTTCCGCAGTTCTTAAAAAGAACCAGCTTCCAAAGTTAAGACGGAGTTTGAGAATTTTGCACAGTTTCACTCAATCTTAAATTTCAAGGCAAAATGGCCTCACAGGCTAGGGCTTTTAGGTTTGGTCATCAACCCCATTCTGAGTTAACCTCAAGACCCTCTTCTTCGACCACGCCTTTGGTCACTCTCCTTACCCCTACCCTTACCCTCCTAGCCTTCCATCCCTCCTAACCCCAAGCCCCTACTCGGGTCCAAATCCCTGACTGTCCAGCGCCTTGGGACGTCCTCCCAACGTGAAAGGCGTTGTAAAAATGTAATTTGTAGTTGTTGTTGTTAACCCAAATGTCTCGTCTGCTCAAGATGGATTACCCTGTTCTATGGCTTCCCTTTGGCGTTGTGCTTTGAGGTTTCTCTCCCGGTTTCGGGCCGGCTGCTATGAAAATCTCTAAAATGCAAATTGGACACCAATCTACCGTTCCTTAAAATAGAAGTCTATTTTTTCCTCACACTTCTGATGTGGGAGGCATTAAATATTAACAGTTTCAGCGAATTTTTTAACACAAGCAAAGAAAACATCAGAATTGAGGCCTTGATCTCACCCCAGTTTCCCTCTCCGCACTTTTGCCATTATCTCTAATCCTAACCTTGGTCAGCTTCGGATTTGGCAAAAGGTGGAAAACTTTGATACGCAACAGGGAGACCGAAACATTTGCCGTCATTTAGACCCTGGTGCTTGCTTCTCACATTGATTGAGCAATTGACACTCCCTTTAGGAGATGGAGACCCTTGAAGATGGATATCTGAAAACTTGGGACCCCTGGTAACAGACTGACATGGAAGTGATTGATGATGCATTTTCATTCCACTCCAATTGGGGTACAACGATTATCGTGCAACCACAACTCAGATCAAAGAGTTTGCCCACTGAGACCTAGTCATTTCCTTAGTGAATCAAACTAGTGTACTCTTCTGCCCTCGGTTGTCCTATGTATTGAAACGAGGAGTGACACATTGGCAGGCTCTTCCGATGATGGAGCAAGTTGTCCACAAAACAGAGTCAATACTGCTCCTTGAGGAGATCGGTGGTACTGCAGTCTCTTCCCCCACCCCACCCACCCACTCCACAACCTTCCACCCTCAAACACCCCATCTCACACATGTTCCTACATTTACCATCGCATGCTGGTAACCAACTGAAAACAGAAAGAGCCAACAAATAAACAGGTTTGTTTTTGAAGTCTATAACGGCGGTCTGGTCGAAAAAAGCAGCCCGAGGTAACCCTCTGGTCAGGATTTGGTTAATTATTTACAGGTGACTGAGATTCTGTGTCTATTGTAGTTAATGAGAGCTCAGTCCGCTTGTTCTACTCTGCACTCCTCGTAATAACATGTAGAATACAGTGCCAGCCCTATCCCTCTCAATGGTCTCAAGTGCTCTTTCTCTTTGCCGCACTGGGCTCTGTATTGTTGCAGTGCTGTTGACGCAGTATTGGGTGATCAGGATGCCTCCCTCCAGCGAGGGAGAGAGTGCGCATTCCATTCCAACAGTCTATCTCTGGAATTGCCATGGGACGCATGGAATTCTCAGTCTGGTTTGGACACTCTTAAGCACGGGTGATGGGTTTCTGCATGTGTCGGACTCCCAGTTGACCAAAAAAACAACATAGTATTGACTCTTCTCGCAGATATAGAAACCTCAGTGTGCCAGGTGAATGGGGGGAGAGGAGTATCGTGTGACGTTTCAGCTGTTAATTAATGACGGAAATCTCCACAGAGGTAATGGACTTTTTTTTGTGTTGAACATAAGGAAGCGATGTCCAGTGTTCCTCAGTGGCTCAGGTTTCACCTTGGCCCAGAGAGGGAGCTGAGCTGGCGTCTGGGCTGAAATTCCTGGCCACATTCTATCGCCACATCTCCAATTAAGAGAATTCCATCAGCTCCCCGTGATCACAGCATACGTGCAAATGGCTGAGCAGATTTGGAAATAGCAGATGTCCCACCACCCCACCACCACCAGCTCCCCCGCCTTATTCTTTCATTAGAATCTTCTGCGTAAAACGAGCCATCAGGCTGACGTAAAACCTGCTCCAGGACTTTGCCAACTCACTCCCGCTCCTTTACAGTCGGGAGTGGCTCTCCAATAGGTGGTCCTAACTGGACAAGCAGCAGAGTAGCTTGCCGTTGAGACCAGTGCTCTCAATGGCAAGCTATGCAGTTATAGCTGGTTAGACTCCAGCAGTTACTCCAATGCTCACTCTGGGCTCCCCCAAGTCTTGACTCTTGCCAACCTGCGCCTAATATTCTCCAGAATCAGGGAAGCAGGATGTGTCCCTCCAGAGAGGGGGTGCGTATTTCATCCCAACAATCTTATCTCTGGAATTTCCATGTGTAGGTGGGATGCATGGAATTTTGAGTTTGGGTTGGAGACTCTTAACCAACGGTGATGGGTTTCCTCTGTCAGACACCCAGCGTTCCAAACAATTTCTCTCCAATTCTCTTTCCTCCGTTACGGGGAAAGTCCTCGTCTCTGCTTGTAAAACACCCCAGGGAGAATTGCCAAAGCACTCGTCTCGGTACTTGGGAAGAAGTGAGCCCAAACCCATGTGGACCAGGTCAAGGGAAGGCCAAAAAGCAGCATTACACAGTACCAGAGTGAATCAAAAAGGCCCATTTGCCATCCACCTTATTTATGATTAGGTTTTTAAAGATTTCTAACCTTTTTCTTTCTCATCAAGATGCATCTTTTGGCATTTCTTAACAGATTTCTCAACAGGAAAGGCGAGCGGTTATTGAATGTGACGAAGAGAGCATTATTGCTTTTATGAACCATTATCGAATGCATCATCCGGCCCACTCGGTGTTTAGAAATGAGACAATTGCACACTTCTTAAGGAGAAATCTCTCAAGCAACCCTGCAAATTAAGACTCCCGAAATTGTATTCCCTCTCTGAGAAAAGATTAAATTGTAAAATTGGTAACGTAACCCGGTTTCCTGTTGGCGGGAGAATTACTTCCTGTTAGGTGCCCAAATTACTTCATGTTGGGTCTCTCGTTGCACTGCACACCTCAATAATTGGTCGCTTTGGTAAGGTAGCCAGAGCTAGAGCAGTGCTTGATAAGTCTGTACCTTCAGGAGAGGAGAAAAGAGAAATGGAGGAGGAAATAAAACTCACCAATAGAAATTGAACGGTTCTATTCCCCTCCTGCATTGAGCAAAGCACGGAGTTTGGCAGTTTTGTAGGGATTTTATTTTGTATTGTGCCATAAATAACTCAACCCTACTGGACAGTTACAGTACGTGGTTAAGGGCCTGATAGAATAATATTGCTCAATGTCAAGGTCAAAGAGAAATCTGACAATATATTCTGCTAGAAGCAGAAGAGCATCCATAACTCAACTGCACTGCTACTGACCTTGTGGCTTTTGATAATTCACACGTTTATAAAAACAAGTGTGGTCCACTGAGAACTTGATGTCTGGCTTCATTGAATGAATGTGGACGGGCGCTATGGCAGAGAGAGATGGGACTGCTTGCTCGCGATTAGTCCAATTTGCGAGTTTTGTCCTTCAGATGGAGAGGCATTCCTCCATGTAAATCCTTCCCCCGCACCCGCCCCCCCTACCCACGCAGAGGGTGGGGGTGGGAAAGTTACTGACGGAGGGACCTGTTACATACTTCTAACCGTTGTACCCCCATCATCGCGACATGCAAAAGGAAAACAAATTGTAAAAAGAGAACAGAATATTGTAAATCAAACATAACTTACTTCTGGGCTCTGCATTGATTTGGCAAAACAAAAAGACAGAAACACATCACAGGTTTAATAAGACAAAACACAGGGATAGAGGAAGACACAATGAGCAACACAGTACAACCAACCCCTACCACACGGATCTTTCAAACGGACACCTCTGACCTTAAACAACGGCAGAACCAGCGCGAGTCCAGAGTGTGAACTGTAACCATCATGGGCATCACATGTCTCGCTATTACAGAGGGGAACTTGTACCAGTGCCAGACCTGGACAGGGTGCATTTCAATACCAGCATTGATACCGGTCGCCGCAGGTCACAAAGTCACCTATAGAACGAATGAGCTTCCAGGAAACCCTTACGGGCCGGAATTACAGGTGCCAGGATCTAAAAGTTATTCCCTCAAATTATTCCCGGAAAATTTACGGATTGGTTCAGATTTTTCCGGAAATCCCAATTGATCAGGGGATAGAAGTAGTTTAGGAGGCCGAAATTCCAGCTAGTCTTAGCCTGCAAGATCGTAGGGTCTATAAAGCTTAAGATGGCGCAGAATTGTGGAAACGCCTCAACATCAGTCTTAATTTGGAAGCCGATTCTTTTAAGAACTGCGGAAGACCAGATTCCAAATTAGTTCTAAATTTGAGAATTGTCCACAATTTTACGCCATCTTAAATTGAAGGCCAAGATGGACTCACAGGCTTGCCGGTGGAATAATTAGTTAGTTATGCTCAGGTGTGAATGGAACCTGACAGTTTTTTGCTCTTTATTCCCCACCCAAACTCCACACTGTCGTCACAAGTACAGGCGGCAACGAGAGACTCTATAACTCTAGTCTCTCTCACTCACTCGGTATCATGTCTCAGGTTTGATATTGAACTCTTTGCAGTTCAAGTGCAATCCCTTTATTAATGTCTACCGAGTAGTAAAGTGCCTCCCAGGATGATGGATGCTCGCAATGATTTAGCACCGTTTTAGCAAACGTGTTAACATCTTATTGATGTACAATTGATTTCCAATAAATTGTCCTAAAAAAAGCAACAATTGAGCGGGAATAAACTTGACCGGCACAATCCAAAGGTTTTTACTCAAAATACGATAGAAATTTACATTTTTATAGCGTCTTTCAGGTCAGGAGTACGCCCTGAGGCACAGTGACGGTTCCAGCCAAAGCCAACAGGTTCCAGCCCCTAGACAACCCATGTCTAATGATCGTTACAAGCTGGAGTATGAACGACACACTTAAAGCTCTTGTAATGTGAGTGATTAACACAGAGAGAGTGAGTAGATAGCAATGGAGTGAGTGAGTGAGTGAATGAGTAGGTGAGTGAATGAGTGAGCGAGTGAGTGAGTGAGCGAGTGAGTGAATGGCTGACACGTATTGAACAGAAAATGGATAATGATAAGACGGTGTTGGAACGAATGAGGTTTTAGCCTTTGTGCATCATCACTGGAGAAAATATATCTTCTTTGCAGTTTTACTCACATTACTTTAGTTACTCTCAAACTGATATGGTTCACCTCCTGTGGGCAAGTTTCACCGCTATTGATTTATAATGGTAAGTGGATGACAGATGACAGAGGCTTGAAAAGGGAGTCCCTATACACTACACCGATGACAATATGAGTTCTGCTGGTAGGAGGCTGGGGGGGGAGAGAGAGAGAAAGAGAGAGAGAGAGAGGGGGAAAGAGGTAAGTGACTCACTGACTACATGTTGCTAGTGGGACCACACTGACTGTTCGATAACCTTGTAGACAGGGACTCTCCCCTTTAGGTAAAAATGTAATTATCTCCAGTCTGCGGAACAAAGCCTGAGTGGGGGAGGGAAGATGGCAGAAACCTCAGTCTTGCAGGTAAAGGTCACCAGCTCTCTTGTGCTCTCTTTCAAACTTGTGACATTAAACATCTCTACAATAACAAAGACATTATGTATAAAAAGGGAATTGTAAGGCAGGGATTTGTGTGATCAAACACTGTGAGAGTGACAATTGGATCAATCTTAATGAATATTCCCATAAAGCCAGGCACGCAGAAATTCACACATCGATCGCTTCAGTTGACTTGATGGTTAATGAGATCCCATCACTTTTGGTGCATTCATTGCGATAATTATCCAATGCGCTGACTTGACTGCTCGGCTGGTATTTCTGGGTTGGAAATCCCGCTGTGGAGTAGGTGGTGTTTTTTGCTCAACATTCTCAAGGACTGTAAGGGTTGGCGTCTTGAGTAGGTTTCCCTGACGCATTGCGCTGAATGGGCTACAGTTCCCGCTGGGAGTCAGGCTGTCCTGTTGGGTTCACTCCAAGTCTATAAGGAGTGAGAATACCACTGAGCGAAGTGGACTAAATTCAGAGATGATAGGATTTAACCCATTGTCAACTCTTGGAGCACAAACGGCACCAAATTCAAACTCAGTGTGAAAGATCGCAATGTTGCTTTGAGCAGGTGGGCGGCTGAAGGTGGTTCAATATTCCTGGCTATGTTCCGAGACCTCTTTGCTCTGGCAAACCTCTCAAATAGATCTGTGACATTGTAGAGGAATACGAAGACCCCAGAGAGGGTGTTACCGAGAAGAAAGTGAGAAATGCGAATTGACTGTATATTTTGTGGGTGAAATGCAACAGTCAATTGCGCACAGCAGTTTCCCGTGACCAAATTATTATTTTTTTTTAAAAAAAGGGATTATTACCCCGGGAAAAGCGATCCGCCAATTCACTAACAACCAGGTTCCTACTTAACTGCTTGGTAAACAGAGGCATGTGGAGTAAGGAAACTTGCCTAACGTTTCGTCCTGTCTGGGAATCGAACCCGGGTCCTCTCGCTTGCGAGGTGAGTGCGCTAACCACTGAGCTACAGGACTCCACTGAGAAATGGTGAGGAGAGATTTGGTGCAACGTCAAGGGATGAGATCAAGCAGGGAGAGAGGACACGAGAAAAGTCGGGAACGATGAGCAAACGCATTGACAGATTAAGTCCAGAACAGGAGCTGATCTCTTTATGCTAGTGTGCTGTGCGCTCATTCATAAATGTTAATCAAAAAAACATTCCACTCTGGGTATAGATAGCTCAGGCCAGCGATTACATTTTTTTACAGTCTCCAGTGGTACCTCATTCAGCGACAATATTTCAGATTGGCATCTATCGTCATAGCTTAGATAAATGATAGACAAAAAAAGTAAACGGTTCGAAATGTAGTTCATATTATTCCAATGATTTAATGGGCAGGGTAATAAGATGGGGGATTGCCTAGATGGGCAGTGCTAATAAATGCTATTAATGTAGATAGATTGATTTATTTCCAGATCATAATCCTTTTTAACTGCATCGCTTGAAACTGGCGAAAACGAAATTCAGAGATTTCGTAAAAGAATGGTAGCAACGAACAGGAAGCGCTACAAACGAACAGGAAGCGCAAGTGGGAAGTATGGGACTGCAGTTGAAATGCAATTCAATGGAATGGCATGTGGAAGTACAATACCAAGCAGGGACCCGACACATTTATAATTCCTCTGGATACGTGGAACTCGCAATAAGACGTGATAAAAATGAGCAGAAAAGATCAGGGCTGTCTACTCACTGATGAATGGCTTGTAGAAATTTGCGTTGGTGTTTTCGGACTTTGGCATGGTCGATCTTCTTTACCAGCTTGGTGTATTTGTAAATCAGCCATGTTTCCCTGAGTACATTGGCAGCGGCATTTTTTACCTGAAAGAAACCAACTGAAAATCAGAGATGGGTCTCAGTGTTGCAAATGGTGAGAGATCCCTTTATATCCTCCTAGCTTGGTGCCGCCTAGTATCCAGTTGAGTGGATGGTGGTAATCATTTAGCTGGCGAACACCATTATTTGGACAGCAATTGGTCAGCTCTGAGTTCTATTATATAGTATTTGGGGAACAACAACAACAAGAAGCTGAAAGGTGGTGAGAGAGCTTCAATGTCAGGGCTTTGCTGCCTCAGCGATAAGGAAGCCAATGTTCTATTAATGAAGAGACCGTTCGGTATTCACTGGGGACTAAGTTAACACTCTCTGGAGGAGGCTTCTTACCCGCTTCGATAGTTGTGTATCCATCATAAAGTTGTGCACATGTTTTTCAGCTTTGGTAAGTTCGAGCTTCCTCGCAACCACAGCAACCACAAGAGCCGTACATCCAGCTCCCTTCAAGAGAGAGAGAGAGAGAGAGAGAGAAAGACAATTCAGCAATAGAGTAATGCACTAAAACACCAGTGCACATCACCTTTCGTCCTTTGCTGCTTAGACTAGGAAGCCTGACAAACGATATTTGCTTTAGAGGTGGGAAGTGCTAATTGTAATTTCTAGTTTGACCTTTGGGTTGTTTTGTTTTTTTCGCGTTCTATGGCTTTCAAGCAGAAATATGGTACAAAATAAGCATTTTGTACATTTTGCGATGCTGTGATGTGTTCATTAACACTGATGATCACTTTGATGACCTTTGGACAGCTGGGTGTCTGACACATGCGGAAACCAATTGCTGCGCTTATGAATATCCTAACCAAACAGAGAATTCCACGCATCCCACCTACACATGGAGATTCCAGAGATAAATTGTTGGAATGGAATGTGCACTCTCTCCCTGGTGGGACGCATCCCGCTTACCCTAATTCCTCCAACAATTAGGTGCAGGTTGGAAAACGTCAAGGCTTGGGGGACCCCAGAGTGTGTGGTGGGGTAACTGCTGGAGTCTAAACAGCTAAAACCGCGTAGCTTGCCATTGATATTGCTGTCTGGCAAGCGTTCCTGCTGCTTGTCCAGCTAGGACCAGCCTCGCCATTAAGGCTTAACGGGAGCTGAGTGGGACAAACCCCTGCCCCACCCAGTGATCCTAAGATAATTAACATATTGACTGGTGCCTGGATATGTTATGGCTGGGTCCATCTTCTCAAAGTGGTATTATAATAATAATAAATAATAATGTGAGTAGCTGGCTACCCACTGCCTCGTGGGTCTCAGCATTGCAGCACCGGTTAACAGGATTCACTGATTACTTTGTTCAGTAAAGTCAGTGGAACAACTAAAAGTTTTCATCTCTGTAACCTCCAGGAATGACTCAATCTTACCATAATCCCTGTCAGCAGGCAGACCCCTTTCCCACAGTACGTATGAGGCACCATATCCCCGTACCCGATGGACAGGAAGGTGATGGAAATCAGCCACATCGCTCCCAGGAAGTTACTTGTGACTTCCTGCTTGTCATGGTACCTGTTGTGGGTTCAGAATGGAAGAACAATAAATAGCCAATAAATACCTGGATATGCAATGGATTACTTCAGAATACAAGAACAGTTCAGTGATCTGAACCTCCATCTAGTTTAGGCTGGGGTTGGGGAAATCAGCCAGGATCCCACCTGCTGAAAGCCGAAATTCCACCTATTCTTAGACTGCACGACTATTGCGTCATCGTGTTTAAGAGCGGCTTCACTGTATCAGGGAGTTTTGTGGAACGTTTCAGATCTTGGGATATCTGTGCTGTGGCAGACAGACAGACGGTAGGTGGGTTTCCTGGAATCTGGATATCCTCAACTTCAAGCAAAACTTTACACAAAGTGTAGCGGCCGATACAACAAATGACAACTGCACTAGTTGGTTCGCTAGAGACTGCGGCCTCGAGATCATGGGACTGGGACATTTCACAAGCAGCTGGGTATACCCCGAATCCTGTAGGTAACCAGATGTGGCTACACCAACCCACGGGAACTCTGATCAGATCCGATCGCCTTCCAGACAAATTGGGAGGAGAGATGCTGCAAGTCAGTGTGACGACTGACTGGGTACCAGTAAGATCCAGTATTGATGAATCCTGTTGCACTTCTATTCTCTGGTCCTGTACAGTCTTCAGTTTACATTGAACAACGGCAACGATCTGCACACTTCCACAGCGCCTTTTACGTAGGAGATAGATTGCCTTGAAGCATTTTAATAATACTTGCGTTTGATATAGCGCCTTATCACGTCTTCGAGACGTCACAAAGCGCTTCACAGAACATACTGTAAAGTGAATCGACTGTGTATTTTGTGGGTGACATTTTACAGAGACGGAGTGGGAGGTGAGCGCTGGATGTGGGGCTGGGGGAGTTGGCGGAAAGTGGCTAAAGATACAGTGAAAATAATGGGATTTTAAGACAGGGTTTGAAAAGCGGAGAGGGTGTCGAGAGAGTGAGGCAGAGAGATTTAGGGAGAGCATTCCAAAGAGCGGGAACAAAGTGGCTGAAAGCTGGCCCGTCAAAGGTGGGTCGGAGGGAAAGGGGCCAAGCCAGGTGAAATGCCAGCAAACTCCTGGAAGACAACAGCAATATTCCTACAGGAGGAGTCTAGGACCTCAGGCAAAGCAGTGCTTTCATTGTTTAAATGGATCATGCAGATAACAAAGTCAGTGAAAATTGGGATGTTTCTCAACAGATTTGATGTCAACCTGTTAATGTTCATAATTCGTGACATTGATCACATCAGACCAACAGCAAATTGGATTTGTACAGCGTCTTCCACATCAGGAGGACGTCCCAAGGCGCTGATTTCATCCCGAGACTTCAAAGTTCTGTTAATTCTGGAACAACGCACCTTTCACATTGACTGAGTACCTGGGGGCTGTTGTTGAACAATATAATACTGAAATGATTTTACACTGTTTTTCTGGGTTGGGCACTTTGCAACCGTCAAATATATTTCTCTGTGATTTGTGCAAACACAGCACTTTTCTCCCATCATTTCCTCGCTGGATATCTGTATCACATTCTCGCATGCTCCTCTTACACCACAATCCTGTTTCAAACACAGCAGTAACTACTGCACTCTGTTCATCCCCTGCTCTCTACTCTATAGTCAACCATGAAGATGGGGGGAAGCATTGGGTTAAAGCAAGAAAGGCCAGTTTGTAACGGTGGTGTCAAAGTCACTTAACGGAGATCATGCAGGTACGAGACAATGTCAGACTCACAGAAATCCACAACACCACCACCAAATTACTCTTGTATAGTGCCTTTCACGTCCCAAGGCACTGGGCAAATAGGGACTTGGACCCGAGCTGGGGTTTGGTACCAGGAGGGGTGGAGGGAAGGGAGGTTAGGAGTAGAAGGTTGACCATCAGTGAATGTTGTGGTGAACAAAGCTTTCTCAACCTCTCCCCCGCCCCCCCCCCCCACCACCATGACACAAGTTGCCATTGGGCATGAACAGACCAACATATCTCCGGAGTGCACAGAGTGTCCGGGGTTTAAACCTGCATCGCAGGACAAAACTGACCAAATCTCCACTCAAATGGCCATCCAGTCACCGGCACGTCTGTAATTCACACCACTCAAGACAGAACGAACATTTGTACTCTTGTAGCCTTGCTCTTGCGGCCTTGCTATCACAGCTTCACAGAATCCCAGGCCTTACCTTTCACACACCCTGACAGTCCATGCGGCTATAATCCACGAGGAGATACTAAAGACCAGGAGAACAGTCCCCGGGCAAATGGTCATTAATGTTTTCATTACAAAACGAGTGTTGAAGTTGATTTTGTTGAGGGCGCCGATGCTTCGGGAGGAAGCGTCTGTGAAGAGTTTACTGTGGAGCAGCATAACCCTGGTGATGAGATAGAGTCTTAGAAACATGGGGATGGAGAGGATGATGTCCACGTCAGCGTCGGCCTCTGAGGTGGTGTAGGTGAACGCCAGCCGTGCCGTCCATGTGAAGATGTAATGTCCAGGGATGGGGTGGATGGCGCATACCAGCAGCTCCAAGCAAATGAAAAATATCCTTTCGTACGTCATGGCTATTCTCCAGTCATCTGCTCCATTGTCCACCATGAAGAGCTGGAACACAACGAGGAGACGGGAGAAAGGTTAGGAGAAAGGAGGTTCATAGGGACATAGGAACAGGAGTAGGCCATTCAGCCCCTGAAGCCCGATCCGCCATTTTATAAGATCATGGCTGATCTGTCACTCAACTGCAATTACTTGCCCTTTCCCCATATCCCTTGATATCCTGACCTAACAAATACTCGAGGTATTTACACTCAAAGCAAGTGCACAGATAATCAATAATCACATAATAATAATAATCATAATCACAGCTAATGCTGCTGCATTTCACTCGCAAAATACAGTCAATTAACGAAGCACTCCAGGTCGCTACCCTGCACGAAGGGCGCTATATAAATGCAAGTTGTTGTTTACAATATATCCTGTGAAGCACTTTGAGATGTCTCAACGATGCCATAAGGCGCTGTATCAATTGCAAGGATTATTATTATCATCAATGGACACCTGGGAGAATCTCCCTTCTCTTGTCAAATCGCATCACGGGATCTTCAACGTTCACCAGAATGGACAGATGTGTCCTTGCTTTGATGTCTCATCCGAAGTATGTCACCTCTGACAATGCGGCTCTCCTCTAGTACCTACGCCAGCCTGAACACCGAGGTTGGTTGTGGGCAGCGAGGTGGGCACGGAGGATAGCGAGCAATGTCAGGTACTGTACAAATATAACTCTTTCGGACGCCAGGACCAACCTGGTTGTGTGGGACCCACGTTGACCAACCAGAGAAGTTGCAAACACTCAAAATAACATTAAGATTAACAACTCGCTATGACCCTGCACACAGGTCCCTGTTTCTAACTCAGATATCTCTGTAACAGTAGAATGTCCTATATAAAGTATCAGTATCTACCTGTACACAGTGCGGGGCCTAAGTCTGATGTCTTTGTGCGAGGCAATGGCTGATATTGGGCCCTTCTTATTACTCAAAGCTGTGAGGCTAACCAACCAGTCAAACCCCTTACCTAATGTTTTAACTCTCTACAAAGACTGAAAGCACCAGATAGTTACAGAAAAGTTCAGCAAACTGGCACATCTGCTGGAGCTATACAGTAAACGACATGACAGACAGACATTAACAGGAGAGACTTGATTCCATTTGAGAATTATATGAAATGTCAACAGCTGTCCTCTGTCCAATGCATATTACCCCCACTCTGAATTCCCTCCCCCACCCACCCCCACCCCGCCAACCACCATTGCAGAACATGGCATCCCTATATATGTTACCTTGCCTGACTTTGAGCACCTGAAATGGAAATGGAGAAGTCTTTCATGTCCTTGCACAAACTTGCTTAAGGAGATTGACCCAAGAAGATGAATGGCGCAAGTATTGGCCATTTGTTTCCGTCCGTCCAAAAGATATTCCAGCTTCGCTCCAGCATCACATGTGTTACCTGATCTAATCTGACCCTGGCTCCAAGTGCCAATGTCTTAAATCACTTCCCCTTCATTCCTATTATACGAAACCCCTGATCCATGCATAATGCTTAAAAGCATAACCTTGAACCACACGTAATGCTCTCAATTATTTATTGTACCTAGTGCTCAGCACACTGAATAGAGGAACTCCTCACTCTAACACTCTCTGACACAGCAATGGACCACTTACAATGGGAATGCTTTGCTGTACCCCCTGGCAACGCATGGACTATAGCCTTCTCTTTCCCCTCCTCAACCCCCAACCTACCAACCACGCTACGCGGTTTCCATCTGAACGCCAGGGGCATGAGGTAGCACGGAGATAATGTATCATCAATCTCTGGCCTGGTTTTCGCTTTGAAATGCTCTTGCACAATATTGTTGAACTAAAAAAGCTTTCCTTACACAATTAAAATGGGAAACATCACTCCCTCCCCACTTTGAAAAGCTGCCAGGCCGGCCATACAGTAAATGATTGGAACAAACACAAGGTGTAAATAAGCATTGAGCTCGACCTGAATTAACAATTGTCTTTACTGAGACCCGACTAGAATCCTTCCTCCCTGACAATTTTATTTTCCTATTCTCGTTGGTCCGTGTTGGGATTCACTTCACCAACCTGTCCGCTCCCTCGCCCAGCCTGTTCCACTATTGGCAGTCGGGCCTTCAGCCTTTCTGGAATGCCATACAGGAGCCCCTCTGCCTCGCCCCTCCCTTGCCTTCCTCTTCAACCATCCTCCCACCACCCACCCCGCCCTCCATCCCTCTCTGATCCCAACCCGCAGCAAACCCTTCATTGCCCAGTGCCTTGGGACGTCCTCCCAACATGAAAGGCAGCTGCATAAATGCAATTTGTTGCTGTTGCTATTGTTGTACAGGTTACACCGGCTCTGGTGTTGGTTGTGGGACATCTCCCTCCAGCTACAGGGCAATGAATATTATCTGGACTGTTATCAGTCATAATAATGATGAATAATTGGGCTCTTACCTGGATCTCCCGGGCATGATACACGACAATAAGACCCAGTAAGATTACAGTGGAGAGGCTGATAAGGCATTTGAGTGCGAGAGAATATAGAGACTCCTGGAAAACAAGAGACCGGACTTTAGACAGAATGACACATGCGTACAGAAGAATTCAACACAGCCAACTCATAACCCACCCCCCAAATTTCTAAGTCAATGTACAACAACAACAACTTACATTTATAAAGCGCCCCTCACACAGGATAACGTCTCAGAGCGCTCTGCAATGGATTGCCTTGGGATGGCCTCCTGAAGTGAATGCCGCTTTACAAATTAATTTGTCGTTGTTGGGTTTAGCTCACGAATGCTCTTAAGCGTCAGACTCAGAGTTGCAAACCTTGGTCAACGAAGAATGTGTCTATTGCAGGAGCTCTGGAGGAATCCATACATCATTTGCTCTGCCCTGTGACACCTCGGCAGGTTTGTTTGAGTGAGTAGCTGAGCCACACATGTCCGTGGGGATATGTCCCATTTGTGCTGAGCTCTCATTGGGGCCGGTAGTGAGGTGTCTGTGTGTTGTTGTGAGTGTATGTGCGCGGGTCTATAATTTGGCTTGTAGCTTGGCACAATCATTGAGCTTTCATAAACACTCTTGGTAAACTGCACAAACAACAAGAGGAATGCAGGGGGTGGGAAGGGGAGGTGGGAGGAGGGGAGAGCAGAGATTCACAACAGCGTGGAATGCTAGAACCGATAGCAAAATATATTTCATATCAAGTTCCTGCCATCGACTGAGAACAGTTCCCCAGAACGGACTCGATCTGAATCTTGTGCTCGCTGGCGTTCCACCAAACAGAAGCAGAAAGGCCCAGAATTGAGCATGTTCCTGGGGTGTGTGTGGAGGGTTGGGGGGACGGGGGACAGTGATCGAATGCTGACTCTTACCAACTTTCTCCCCCGACCCATTCAAAAAATAGTAAGGGGAACAGAAATTTTAATTCCCCTCCAGTGGGAGTTGGTGACCTGTACTGTGGTCCTTCAGGAGCGCTCTAGGACACTACCCTGCATGAGGGGCGCTATATAAATGTACGTTGTTGTTGTTGTTGTCCTGGCTCTTTCACCTGAGCATCTGAACAAATGGAAAGCCAGACAGGCAGGCCTGCCTCCGAAAGGTCAGCCTTCCTCCATTCCGCGTACCCAAAGTACAAAGGGCTCCTTGTGTTCTTTACAGAATGTCAGCTTATCCAGTTACAGGCTTAGTGTCAGTTCAGTGGTACTGTTGACACCTCATACAACCATTAACTAACTACTGGGAAATCGGATCTGTTTTAACAAGTATACAGTTCCTGACCTGGCCTTACCCTCTCCCTCTCTCTCTCTCCCTCCGGTTGCTCAGCGATTGTCCTAATCTCAACCTCAAGCAATGTTCCCGAACGGTGGAAACTGATGTCGTGGTGCTGCTGAGGCCCAGAGTAAACGTTAAAATAAACGCTGCCCATTTTCATTATAACCCACAGTCGCAAGTGCCCTGGAGTATTTGGTAACCCACACAGTGTGGGCATGGATTTGCCTGTTATGTCAATTCACTTTCCAACGTTTCGAAAACGTGATAAGACGCTATATCAAATGCAAGGATCATTATTATTATTATTATTATTAGATCAGTGAGCAAGTAGGCATTGCCTGCGAGTGGGCATTTTGGGGGAGAAAATAATAAATAATCGTAATAATTCTTGCATTTGATATAGCGCCTTATCGCGTCATTGAAATCCCCCTGGCTCTAGATTTATTAATTTCAGAACATACAGAATTTGGCGAATTCTTCAATACAGCACTGATTCTGAAGCCGATTTTCTTTTGTTATTTTAAGAACCAGAAGTACATGAGGCTGCACAAATGGTGTAAATCTAGAGCCGAATGGAATTTCTCTCCAGTGATGTGGAACTTTCTCTACTATAACATTGGAAAGTTGTTGCGCCACCAACACCCTGCGTTGCGAGGCATTTCTCATTCACAATATCACGGCCAAAGTGTTTCTGTGTGCTCATTACTGGGAGGTGTGCCAGTGCTGAGGAATGGAAGAATTTCCCTCTCTAGGCTTCAGTGCCTACATTAAGTACTCATCGAGTACAGGTTAGTTAGACGCAGATTTAGAGGGATAAGCAACGAGGAATAATTGCAAAGAGGGGATTTGATTGAGGTGTACAAGATGTTAAAAGGGATTGAGGAAGTAACCCCAGGATAATATTTCCAGATATATCAAGGCAGCAGGAAAAGAGGACGCAGGTTCAGGGTTGTGAAAGGCAAGTTCAGGAAGAAAACCAGGAAGTGTCCACTTCATTCCATATATAGAGGGAACGGGTTGTCAGGAAGGCTGTCTCAAGTCCTGATACTGTGGGCCCACAGCTTGATGCTTCAATGGGAAAATGGTTGGGTGAGTCCAATATTCAGCAAGCATGAGAGCAAATGGATCGAAGAGCCCTTCTTCACCTGAACTGAGAACGGGGATAATAATAATAATAATAATCCTTGCATTTGATATAGCGCTTTTCACATCGGGAGGACGTCCCAAAGCGCTTCACAGAACACACTGTAAAGTGAATTGACTGTATATTTGTGGGCGAACGCGGCAGCCAATTGCGCACAGCAATGTCCCACAAACAGTCGTAGATTGAAAATGACCAATTTATTATTGTTTTTGGTTTTTGGAGGGATTATTATTAGGCTCTGTGTGGAGTAAGGAAACTTGCCCAAGGTTTCGCCCTCTGCCTGGAATTAAACTCAGGTCTCTCACTTGCAAAGCGAGTGCTCAAACCACTGAGCTACAGGACTCCACAATTTCACGGATCACGGAGTATCACTAACCACAAGCACCTCACTGACACCGGCTGAAATATCAAACCCTTTAAAGGAAACGTGTCAACAAATCACATAACGCAGGTTTAGTCCAGCTGGCGGCCCGCGGGCCACATCTGGCCCAGGGAGTGATTTAATCCAGCCCACCCGCCCCCTCCATAACCCATAAGTGTTATGTTATGAAAAGGAAACACAAAAATATTGCTTATGTGGCCCGTGGAGGTTTCTCAAACAGGGAATCCAGCCCTCGGCAGCACTGCAGTGTGAATAATGCGTTCCTTCATTTATTTATGCGAAGCCCCTTCTCCGAGGACCAATTGACCAAAGCAATATTTTCCCCTTTCGAATGGTTATTGTTCCTTATGCTGTCAGCTCGTGGCCGTGGCTCATGTAACTAGTTGAGCCTCCAAAAAGGTGGGCATACAATCAACATTTACCATCCAAATGGATGATGTTAATGTTGTAAAACACATTAGCACTGGGAAATGGAACGTTTTTCTGTTCCCAGCCACCAGTGACTCCGCCAGCAGCCAGCAGTCCCAGGTCAGTTATTAATACAATAATACTTATATTTATTACAGTGCTTACACTATCCAAACTGCTCCAATTACAAGGAAATATTGTCAAGTGTAGTGACTGTTTTTTCTAGGTACCGCAATGGTTGGAAGCTGAGTACTGTCTCAACAATGTGCTTTTCCACCTCTCCCCCCACCCCAACAGCTTCATTACCAACCATTGCTTTGGCTCCCCCACCCACTTTGCAATTCCGATTCCCCCACCGGCAATCCAGTGACCTCCCTATTTAATGCTAAATTAACATCAGATTGCAAGTAGTTTTGTTGGTAATTAATTTTTTTTTATGTGGAACCTTACAGCACACCTAGGCCTTGATCATCATTAATAAAAAAATTAACAGTTTGGTCACTCTATCCAAGAATGTTTGTGGGGACACTGCTGCATTCAATTGGGCTGCCGTGTTTCGCCCACAAGATATACAGTTGATCCACTTTACAGTGTATCCCGTGAAGGGACTTGAGACGTCTTGAAGATGTGATAAGGCGCTCTGTCAAAACAAGGATTATTATAGTCATCATCTCATCGGTGAAGGCTGGACTGTAATCCAGATTAAAACATGACAAGAGACTGACCTTCGTGTAAGCTCCCCACGACAATTCTGTCTCGGTCACCATCACGACAATCCCGAACATCCCAAAGATCAGCGCGTAGTCGCTGAGGCGTTTCCTCTTCTCAAACAGGGCTCTCCTGTGTCCGAGTTTGTGGCCAATGTTCTGGTTCTTTTTGGGGGACTTGCAACCTGGCTCCCCTAAACTCTCGTTGGAGATGTTGTTCTGGTTGGGTTTGGAGACCACCACCTCCAGGCCCGAGTTGTTGATGGTCTGTAGAGGCTGGGTCTCTGAGTCAAAGTCGTGCAGGTTCCGTCGAGAGGTCCCCAAGCTGCTCAAGGGTCGCACTACCCCTCCGTTGTACTTACAGCTGCTCATGGCTATCTCAGTGAAGGGGTTGCTCTCGCTGAAGCTATGCTTGGAGCCAGCATGGTGTAAGCGATGTAAGTCACCAGTGCTCACCTGCGGTGGTTCAAAGCGGAGGAAAGTCAGAGTCAAAGTTTCGCCCAAAAAAATACACGGTCACTCCACTTTAGGGTGTACTCTGTGAAGCGATTTGAGACGTCTTCGAAGACGTGGTAAGGCACTATATTACATGCAACGATTATTATTGATAATAAAACGTACAGAGTTGCCATCGCTTGACTGACTGAGTTGAAAATTGCAGTATTCAGTGTGGGAATTATCAACGGTGAGAATTTTTCTAAGTGGCGGAAAATTGCGACCCGAAGCTTTGATTGTGGACGGCTTTGGGAGTAAAACACACCACCACCTTCTCTCTCCTCCTTCTCTTTTCCCCGCTCCCCGACAACAATGAAATGAGGCCCCAATAAAATCTGAAAGAACATTGTGGGGGGGGTGGGGGCTGACTGACATGGGATGAGATTAAAATTAAATTAAAATTAAAATGAGTTACAAGTTAAAATGACAAGTAGTGACTGTTGCTCAGTAGTGATATTTGAGATAAAAAGAGAGAGCACGATTGCCGGAAACGGAATAAAACCAGGAACAATATATAATAATGACAATAACAACAACAACAACTGCGGAAAATGGACTAATCAATGAGTATCCGGCCACTACTGTGTTACACAGATGTCCGATTCAGATGGCCTATCAGCCCTGCTTTTACTTGAACTCATCAAACTGTCTCCGAGACGCTACCCTGTGTGAAGGGCGTTTTATAAACGCAAGTTGTTGTTGTTGCTTTCGACTTCGGAACAGAACATCCCAAACTCTGTGCCCGTTCAGTGGAGAAGACGGCATTAGCATCGCAGGTCTCTTTTCCAGACGGCCACACGGCGATCGAGGCAATGGAAGCGCGCGCGCGCGTGTGTTTTTTTTTTAAGACCTCAGCGCTTTACGTCCGAACGCGTCTCACCCCCGAACGCTTCACGTCGCGTTTTCCTGCATCAGGCGCCGTGAGGGGCAGTTTCCCAAAGGTCGACTCCCCACCCCAACCCGTGCCCCCCACACGGATATCTTGACGGGAGAGGGCATTTAGCAATGAAAGGATGAAGCGTGGCCCAGCATTTAATCTATAGGTAATGCTTCAGTGATGCCTCTGAAATGACATGGTGTATTGTGCGCTTAATTACAGTTCACCAGCTGAAAGCCACAAATACAGATGTCTGGTTGACTCAAGACGGTTTGAACATCCGCGACTCACGTCAAAAAATCATTGTTGGGGATTTGAAAACGCAACGAGCCATCAAGCTAATTATAGCCCGTGGACTGAAATTCACAAACAGCAAATCCCACATGATACAGAGAACGCTTTTCGAAGTCGGTGGGGGAAGGGTGAGCAGAAAGGCCACAGTAAACATGTCACACACAGTGCCCATCGCGCGGAGACCTGTCTCACTCGCATGGGCGTCTGATATTGCGATGGATCTCTGCCATTCGCAGCCACTGACCATTGATGACCTCCCCCCCCCACCCCACCCCACTCACGACTCTTCCCGTGTACAGCGGTGCCCTAAAGAGCGTCTCGACAAAGCGAGTTACTTTGAAGTGTAAGTGACTGTTGTCACATAGGCAAACTCGCTGACCAATCGACGCCAGCGACTTCCGAGCGCAAGACAAAGAGATGAGGCCCCAATAGCGTTGGATGAGAGAGGCAATAAGTGACTTTGGACTACTCACTGACTTCAATGACTGTGTTAATTATGCTCATCAAAGTGACTGAGGTCAGTCTGGGGAACCTTTCCCCACCTTAGGTACCCAGAGTCAATTCTGTCGCACCCAGGTCAGCTACAACACCAGTCAGAAACCGAGCCAAGCTCCCTCTATGCTGGCCACCCAGCGCATTCCCAGGTTAGCTGGAGAGTTGGTACAACAATGTACTTCCAATCTAATCTCTGAAGAGCATCTTTAGATTATGCATTTCCTACAGCTGTAAGGAGCGCGTGTCCATGCGTGAATTAATAATTCCCTCATCATCGGACAGTGGGCCCCTCTCTCCCCCCACCCCCCACTAGAAAATACTCATTGCTCAAAACCCCTTAATCAATTTGAGACAATTGCCTGGCGGGTTTCAGCTCAGGTAAAACGGAGGAGTCACACACTTCAAACTTCCGCAGCTATTGTCACAACATCGGCAAATGGACAATAACAGGAGGAAATGGGCTTTGTGGCTGTGTGTCGGATGGGAGGCTGCATGGCAGATTGATCTGACATGATGGCAGTGCCCCAGATCTGTATCACGTACTAGTTTCGGATGGTGGCTAGTCGGCACCAGCTAATTACCGTGCGCTCTCAGCCAGCGCTGAGAAATTTGCACAGTTATTAGACAACACACCTGACTGCCACAATGCGGATTGGAAACCGCGAGCCCAACAGAGCTGCAGTGTTCCCTTAGGCAAGCTGCCCACCCCCCACCAGACACACACACACACACACGTCTTTAGCTTGAAGGAGATACAAATATTTAGCCATAACCGCAAACAAATTTAGCCAAAGCCTGTTTGCCAAGCAATAAATAAGTAGGAACCTGGTTGTTAGTCGACTGGCAGATCGCTTTCTGGGGGTAATAATCCCTCCTCCAAAAGAAATTGGTCCCTCACTCCACAACTGTTTGTGGGACACCGCTGTGCGCAATTGGCTATTGCATTTCGACCCACAAAATATAGTTAATTCACTTTACGGTATATTCTGTGAAGAGCATTGAGACGTCTCGAAGATGTGATAAGGCGCTATAACAAATACAACGAGTCGTATTATTATTATTATTATTATTATGTGTCACTGTATTGTGTGATCATTATAGAATAGAAAAAAAGGCCACCTGACACTTTATTAGGGAGACAATGCCCCTTTAAGACTCGATGCTGTGTGATGCTGTGGGTTCTGAGTGAGTTGGGTATCCCAGTCACTTGGTTCTCAAACTGAAACCCATCTCGGAAACCCGATTAAGCCCCCAAAAATGTGTTGCCGGGATACGGGCAATTTACTGTACCGCCTGCATTGAGTACTTTAACTCTCATTCTGCTGAATAAGTAATATTTCTGTTCAAGGGATGTACATGAGGCCCAATATGACTCATCTGAAATCTTTACCAGGAACGCACATCACTGGGTCGGGCTGCATACTGGTATCATCTCCCACCCACTGAGGGGCGAGACCTCCAGGCAAGTTTCCTTACTCCACACGCCCCTGTTTACCTAGCGGTAAGTAGGAACCCGGTTGTTAGTCGATTGGCAGATCGCTTTCCGGGGCTAAAAATCCCTTATATAAAAAAAAAGTGGTCACTGAATCCACGACTGTTTGTGGGACCCCGCTGTGTGCAATTGGCTACCGTGTGTTGCCCACAAAATACGCAGTCACTACACTGTACAGTATATCCTGTGAAGCGCGTTGAGACGTCTCAACGACGTATCAAAGGCAAGGATTATTATTATTGAGTTCATGGTGACACAATGCCTTTTCAAATCCCGGTTATGCACAGGGACTGGGACCGTTGAACTGACCTTTCGAGTTGGTGTGAATTAATACTCAAACTGTCTGCCTGATGGAGCCATTAATTATATCAACCTCTCAATGGATAACGTTTCGTCGAACGGTCTCACACACACACCACACGAGCGCGTAAAACATGCAAACAGAGAGCAACCCGTACAAACAGAGGATAACGCACAGACTAGAACACGCCTGTGTGTGGGTGTGTGTGTGGGTGTGTGTGTGTGGGTGTCTCTCTCTCTCTTGATTAGCGCAGTCACACACAACCTCACAGTTAACACACAGAGGACAATGCGTGTGCGCTACACGCAGTTAAAATCTACTAACCAAGAGCGCACGTGTCCCCCTCTCTCTCTCTTGCGCAAACAACACACAATAACGCACAGCCAGGAGCACACTTTACACAGACAGGATAGCACATAATCCCCAACGCATTAAGTCATTAACACAATCAGGAGTCACAATAATATCAAAGGCACGAAAGCAAAGCTGCCTTCTAACAGACGTCATTCTTCACACTCGAAACTAACGCAATGATTTCTTAACATTCGCATTGTTATATATATATTACATATATTGATAATTTCTACCTCCCCTCAATCCGCCCCCCTCATCCTTTCACCCCTTACCCCACTCCCCCTCCCCCCCCCCCCTTCCTCCCCAACCACCGCTGGCAAAGCAGTGCAGGGTCTCGCACGATCCAATCATGCGACTTGACAAAGACCGATTGCAGGAATTAGTTCAGAGGCAGATGCAGGGAATAACGTGGCTTCCAGATGTTCCACATCATTACCCAGCAAAGAGCATCACTGAAATGTAGGAGACGTCAGCTCCGTCTCTGCCTATGCACCTGCGTCCTGTGGTACTGGCAGGGAGACGGCTACTGAGGCTCGGATAAATTAAGGAGAGACTATGAAATGACGCTTTCTCCAGCCACCGGAGCAAATAGACATGCAGATCTTTAAAATGGCACCTACTCCCGCATAGTGAGTGCTGGCCAGGAGCTTTGTGGAGAGATCAGCAAAAACACACTCACACACACACACACACAGACTCCCAGAGTGCAGGCACCCGTCACACACTGAATAGCACAGCCTCTCACTTCACAGCTGCATTCTTCCAGCGAGGATAAGAAAGGGGAGGGAGGTGGCGGGGGGGGGGGGGGGGGTGGGGGGTGGCGTGTTTCCTGGCACACGCTGGCAGCTAAGAGACGAGAGTCTGTGAAAAAAAAAGGCAGAAGTCCACCCACGTGGGCTAACACCCACCACAGCACTGCACAGCCTGTGACTACTGCACACACGAGCAATACAGTCCCACACCTCCTGATATTAGTACCAGAGACGAATTCGCCCACAAACTGCACAGTCAATCCCACTTTACACTTTACAGTATGTTCTGCGCAGCGCTTTGAGACGTCTCGAAGGCGCGACGAGGCA